CAGACAGAATATTGTATACACAATAAATAAATAAATATTTTAAAAAAAACCTAATAAATAAACAAATAGTTTCCAGCAAGACAAATAAATAGTCTGTCCTAAAGGGTACTGGTGCACCTACAAAAGGACAAATGTTATTTGCAAATTATCTGAACTGCACACGTGGCATTTTTTAACAACAAAGGAGGTACACTGGTACTCTTCTACAGGAATGAATACAATTAAGGAAAAGAAGAGGAACGGCTGGGAAGATGCTTCAGCTGGTAAAAGCAGTCCAAGTTCAACCCCCAGAAGTCACATAAAACCAGGCACAGTGGCATTCATGTGAAACCCTAAGGGTAGGGGTGTCAGAGTCAGGCAGATTTCTTGGATTCCCTAGCTAGCCAGCCTAGCCTATTTGGCAAGCTCCAAACCAATGAAAGATCTATCTCAAAAACAGTGCCTACGGAACAGTACCTATGGTTATCCTCTGAGGACTAGGTGCACACATAAGAGGAGGTTGGGCCTGGCGCTGTGGGATGTCTTTGACACTGTGATAATGTGTTGCTCTCATTGGTTGATAAATAAAGCTGCTTTGGCCTACGGCAAGGCATGATAGAACTAGGTGGGAAATCCAAGCAGAGATACAGAAGAAGAAAGGCGGGTCTGAGAGACCAGCCACCCAAGGAACAACATACTAGCAGACTGCAACCACACTGCAATAATTAGATTAATAGAAATTTAAATGTAAGCGCTAGTTAATAATAAGTCTGAGCCATCAGCTAAGCATCTGTAAATAATATTAAGCCTCTGAGTGGTTATTTAGAAACTGGTGAGTGAGAGAGAAACCTCTGGTTATAAATGGTATACCAACGTGAGGCTCTCAAATTTCCACAGGGCCTGAGAAAGCTTTAAAAAGAAAAAAAAAAATAGGCAAACAGCTCCTTTAAGAGTTTCTGCAGAACAGTGAGCCTTTGAACAGCTAATACATTAAGTAGGAACAAAAACTAAGTAAAAATGCCTGCCACAGTGCAAGCATCAGTATTCTAGGGCTCTAGGAAAGGTTTAATGCAGTTCTTGATCAAGAACCTTTGACTGGGCTATGAGCTTTAGGCTAGATTTTCACAAACCAAAAAGCAGGCAGAGACAGTCACCAAAGCTGAGAGCAGAGGTCCATGTTGCTTAGCAGTTTAAAGGTCAAAAAGGCTAAAAGATACACAGTAAAAGAGGTCCATATGGAAAAACCTCTAAACAGGTTCCAGTGTATTTTACAATGTGCATAGGCTTACGAAAGAAATAAAAGGGTAGTGACAGTTAATAGAAAGGAATAAATAGTTTTAAAAAATAATATAATAAAGTCTATTTGTTGTTTTTTTTGAGACAGGGATTCTCTATAGCTTTTTTTTTCCAGCCAGTCCTGAAATTTGCTCTGTAGACTAGTCTGGCCTCAAACTTACAGAGATCCACCTGCCTCTGCCTCCTGACTGCTAGGATTAAAGGTGTGCACCACCACCATCAGGCATTATAGTAAGTCTTTAAAGAGAGAAATAAAATAATTTTTAAAAAAGCCACCCAAAGATGGGAAATACATAGGGAGTCTGGATCTTGTATGCTAGTATGTTGATTTTAAATTTTTTGATGGCTGATGGGCAAGAGACAGCTGCTGGGAGACATGAGACTGACTGAAAGAGAAAATGAAAAATATACCAACCTAGATATTTTAAAAGTACCTTAACTTTAAAACAAAAATTAAAAACTATATTTGGGAAATGGAACTTAAAAGACGATTGCTTTAGAGAAGCAGTCTTGCTTTTGTTTCCATAGGAAACAAGAGGCTATGAATTCGTTCCAGCTTAAGATGGAACAGTTTTGATCAAGGGAGCTCTCCTGAACCTTGACAGGTGATATCTATCAACAAAGGTTATAGATGGTCATACCAGGACTTGGCCATTATCTCAGTTTATCTCAGGGACCCTAAAGATGCTTCATCCACAGACAGCAGGAAGCAGTTTGGAGAAAACAATGTCAACATTCCCAAGAGTTGGGGGATATGGATGGTATTTGGTTATTTTGTGGGTTATTGATGTTTGTTATATTTAGGGGAATATTTAGGGGAAAAAGACAACTATTAATCTCAAAATAATTTACATTGATATGGATTTTGTTTACTGATATAAATTTAAAGTCAATTTTGTTATACTGTATGTGTATTTCTACTCTTGTTTAAGGTATTATGTTTATGAAGATCATTTAAAAATGTAATTTATAGTTAAAAATACAAATTAATAGTCATATATATAATAGTCAATCTTATAGCCATATTAGTTTTTTTAGGTATACAAAGATATATTTCAATCAGGTAGGTAATCTTCAAACACTTCAAAGACCTACAGAATATGGCATTTAAAATGTTTTAAGAACTTAGACTTTTCTCAGCAATGAGACATATCTGCTCCTGGAAGCACCAGTTACTTCAAAGACAGTGATGGGAATCAAACTCATTATGGAGCTTCTTTCAACATAGCAAGACCAGCCATTTGGGCAAGAAACTGCTCTTGCCTAGACTGCTTGACAGTATGCTGTATGAACTGGACATGCAGAACCCACAGAAAAGTGACTGTTAAATTTTGCCAAAACAAGGAAGAATGGTCGTTCAGGGTTCCTGCTTCACAAAAGAAACTACCAGACATTCCACAGGACACAGAGGAAAGCAACTGATGAACTTTGCCAAAATAGAAGAAACAGTCCTTCAAATTTCCTGCTTCACTGAAAAGTCTGCCAGACACTCTAGGCCTGCAGGCTGAAGATGGATGCCCCAATGTTACAGAAAAACTTTGGGTGACTGTCCAGGCAGTCAGATATCTCTGCCACTTCTAGAGTTTTGGAAGTTGCTTGTTATACACTTCTTGTTTACTCAGATAATATTATATCCTTCTGGGGTCTTTGATGGAGTTGAGGACTAGATAGTTATAGTTTTTCCTTAGTTATAATAAAAGACAAATTAGATATGAAACTTTAGATTCACAAAGACAGGATAGATAATGGAGCATTTAATTTTGTCAAATACATATAGATTAAATATTGTAACTGTAATTCTTGCTTGATAACTGTTCGTCATATATAATTTTACTATGTTAAAGTTAAAACCTTCATTTTTGATTAGACAGAAAGGGGGAAATGCTGTGGGGTGTATTTCTGTATGCTATGAAAATGTGTTGCTCTCATTGGTTGAGAGATGAAGTGTGTTTGGCATATGGCAAGGCAGAATAGAGCCAGATAAAAATCCAAGCAGAGATATAGGAGAAGAAAGGCAGAGTCTGAGAAACACCATTCAGTCACCCAAGGAACATGCCAGCAGACTGGGAATCTCCCAGCCATGTGGCAATACTTAGATTAATAGAAATGGGTTAATTTAAAGGTAATCTAGCTAGTAATAAGCCTGAGCCATTGGCCAAGCATCTGTAAGTAATATTAAGCTTGTGAGTGCTTATTTGGGAACTGGCAGATGGGAGACAAACTTGTGATTACAGTCTGGAGAAACGGCTCAGCAGTTGAGAGCACAGGCAGCTCTCCCAGAGGACCTGGTTAAATTCCCAGCACCCACATGGCAGTTCACAACTATCTGTAACTCCAGTTCCTAGGGATCTGACCTTCAGGTACTTGGCACATAAGTGGTACACAGACATACATGTAAGCAAAACACCCATACACATAGGATAAATTTAAAAGTAAAAACTAAATAAATAAAAAGAGGAGAGAGGTGGGCAGCTGGTGGCGCATGCCTTTAATCTCAGCACTCAGAAGGCAGAGGCAGGCGGATCTCTGTGAGTTCAGGGCCAGCCTGGTCTACAAGAGCTAGTTCCAGGACAGGCTCTAAAACTACAGCGAGACCCTGTCTCAAAAACCCAAGAGAGAATGAGAGAGGGGGGGGGGGGGGGGGGGGGGGGGGGGGGGGGGGGGGGGGGGGAATGGTAGCCGCTAAATAGTTAGCAGCTGTAGCAGTTATGGGAGAGGAGGCTAAGGTTCAAATCTAAACCATGCTGTGATACTTTTTAACACACTTCCAGCTTGATCTTTATCTTCCATATTCCATTTTCTCCACCTCTCACATGAATAAATTAAAGGTCATTGTCTTATTTAATAAAACCATACTATATAGCTGGGCATAGAGGTGGACACCTGTAATTCTAGCATGAAGGAGCTGAAAGCAGGAGGATCAGGAGTTCAAGGCCACCTTAGGCTACACAGTGTGGTTGACGCTAGTTTAGGCTACAAAAGACTCGGTGTCGAGGGGGAGCAATGGCTTATAAAGATGGCTCAGCAGTTTAAGGCACTTGTTACCAAGCCTGACAACCTAAGTTCAAGTTCTGGGACGCATGTGATACAGGGAGAGAATTAACTCCACTCCTGCAGGCTGTTCTCTAGTAATATCGAAACTTGCACTGTGCCACATGCAGAGGCAGAGTCACACATGCACACACATGCGCACACACATGCACACACATACACTAAGTGTAATTTTTAAAATAATGAAAAATTAAATAAATACTACCTTTTGAAAAGAAAAGGCTTCGACTTGTATATGTTCTAAAAATCTATGTTGTTATATACTCCAGTATTACTATAGTAGCTGTTTGATTGTAAATTGTTCTTTTTCTCTTTTTTTTCTTTTCTTCTTTTTTTTTTGGGAGGGGGTGGTTTTTTGAAACAAAGTTTATCTGTGTAGCCCCAACTGTCCTGGAACTCAACTCTGTAATCCAGGCTAGCCTCAAATTTATAGATCCATCAGCCTCTACCTCCCGAGTGCTGGGATTAAAGGCACCACTACTGTCCAGCTAGTTTTGATTTTTCTACCCTCAGATGAGCAAGAAACAGCTCTATGACAGGGGGGAAAAAAAAACAAGCAAACAAGGACAGACATGGATCTGCGGAAAAGCAATTGTGACCTGAGCCCTTTAGGCACAATTATCCAGCTACGCTTGTTCTTAAGATTCATCCTAACTCAGGCAACATATAAAAACTTTTCCATTAAAAATAAGAAGTAAAAATAAGTCACACTTACCATTCTGTGTAAGTTTACTCGAAAATTCATGTTGTCATCATGTAAAAATGCATTGGCATACTGATCCTAATAAAAACAGAAAAGTACGATCTGAGAAGTGTATTTAGGAAGCTCAGCTGGGCATGGCGGCACATGCTTGAAATACTCAGCACTTGGGAGTGGAGACAGGAGGATCAGAAATTTAAGTCATCCTGAACTATATATATATATATATAGTCAGTTTAATCTCAATCTAGGCTGCATGAGACCCTGTGGAAAGACAGAAATACAATAGAGAGAGAACAAGAAAGACAGAAGGAAAGGGGCTGGTGAGATACTCAGTGGATAAAGACATCTGCCACCAAACTTTACAACTGAGCTTGATCCTTGCAACCCACATGGTGGAAACTGATCCCTAAAACACATGTATTTGTAATCCACAACACTGTTCTCTGACCTCTATATGCAAGGCTAGACACACAGATACACATAAATAAATAAATAAATAAATAAATAAATAAAATTTAAAAGACTAAAGAAAAAATGGTGTGGAGGCGGAGCAGAAGGGAGAGACAAGAAGTAAAAAGGGAGAGACAGAGGAAGGTGGGAATAAAGGAAAGCAGGCAAGCAAGCAGGCAGACATGAATGGATGCATTTGTAATCTATCATACAAAATCCTCCCTCTTTTCTTCCTGCCAACCCAAAACAAGGTCTCTAGCCTAGGCTGGCCTCCAACTCCCTATGAAGTTAAGAATAGCCGCTAATCTTCCTGTCTTTACCTCTGCTTCTGAGTGCTGAGATTATAGGAGTACCAGTTTATGCAAAGGAAGAAACTGAATCCCAGATTTGGTCATGCTAAGCAAGTGTTTGGCCAATTGAATTACATTCTCAGTCCAAATCCTTGGACCTTTATAAACTACTTTCAGGATCCATGGGAGAGTTAATGTAATAAGTCTAGAGCCTTTACATCAACCCCTTACTTAAGCCATAAAATTGAGTAAAATTTCCCAGTATGTCTTTAGTGGATCGAAGATCTCTGGGAAAATTAAATACAATAAAATATTAAAATCCAGGGGCTTGAGAGGAATCTGTTTTCCTAGTCTCGCTTCCTTCCCATCTGCCCAAGGAGTCAGCTGTGCTTGTGACAGCTTGGAGGCTCTCACAGGGGCAGAGGATACACGTGCAGACGCCACATGAGGCTCCCGGAATGAGGAGGCCTGTGCTCTGCTGGGAGTGAGCTCAGCGCAGCAGGAAATAACTGCTATGCTGGCAGCACTGAAGCAGACAAGACCCCATCTCTCCCTGCCTTCGAAAGACTGGTGGAAAAATCAGCTCTTCTCACAGAAGATTGGAAATAAGCATCCCCTGGCCCTCTCCCAACATCTTCCTGAGATCTGACATGCCTACAGACTCCAATTACAGGGACTGTTACAATTTGTGAAGAACAACTCCTTTAGGGATTTTCTTTGAATGTTTGTGAAAAGCAGTTGTAGGAGGCCCATTGCTGATAGGCAGTTCTTCTAGCAGCAGCTCCCCTAGCCTTGTGAGAAGAGCTCATCTGCCCACAGAATGCAGAAAGTGAATGTGTGAGACCACTGCACCCTGTGGACTACCTTGGCTGCTGTCTTAAAAAACAAACAAGGGAAAGGAGTCCTAACAGGAGAGGCAGCAGTTATAAATTTAGCTCTAATCTAGCTCAAGTCCCACCATCTTTGGGAGTCGCCGCTAGCTAAACCAGGCAAAAGGGCCTTCTCACAAAGAGTGACCTTTCCACAGCTGACTGGCTTTCAAATCACTGATGAGCCATCCTCCGTGTGTGTCTACAAGGGTGTCCTCCAAGAGGTTAGACTAAGGAACTGAAGACTCACCCTAAATGTGTCTGCTACTACCCCGTGGGCTAAGGACTCAATTTGAACAAGAGGAGAAAATAGAGAAAGCCTACTTGATAGACACCAGTGTTTGTCTCTTTCTGCTTCCTAACCAGTGCCCTGAAAAGGCTGCTGCAGGTCCCCACAGGCATGTCTGCTCTGCTGTGGTGGACTAGGTCACCTCAGACTAGGAGTCAAAAGAAAGTCTCAAGTTCCTTTTTTAAAATCAAATTGTGTATGTGTGTGTGTGTGTGCGCGTGCGCGCGCGCGAGTGAGTGCGCATATCCACCACAGTATGCATGTGGAGGTCAGAGAACAGTTTGCAAGAGTTGGTGAGCTCTCTTCTTCCATCATGTGGCTCCGAGGGATCAAACTCATGTCATCAGGCTCAGTAGCAGGGCCTTTACCAACTGAACAATCTCGCCCACATGTAGATTCTACTTATCTGGAATTAGGCCACAAAAATGAGAAAAGTAACTCATACACACCTTTTCTTACATCAATTCTTGTTCACCACCAAAATGTAACCATTCTCCTCTATTTTTCTTGTACTCCTATACCCCAGGATATTTTAGCTCCTTTTAAAACTTACTAAACACAAAAGACACAACACAGCTCCTCCAGAGGGAAAAGGTTGGCTTTCTAGAAAGTTTTAAATCTCTTGGTTAGAATTGCTAAGGACCAAAACACAGATGGGTATAGCTCAGTACAGTCCTGTGTAGTATGCATCAAGTCCTGGGTTCCGTCCCAGCACTCCATAAAACCAGGCATGACGGGACACAGTGTGCCGGTAATTCTACTCAGAGGAATAAGAAGTTCAAGGTTATCCATAACTACATAGGAAGTTCAAGAGCAGCCTGGACTATAACAGACCCTCCGTCTTTAAAAAAGGGGGATGTCTGGAGAACCATCCAGAACCATCCATTCTATTCTCAACTATCATAGTTACTTTATCAATATTGTTTAGTTTTGTTTGAAATAGGGTCTCATGTATTCCCAGGCTGGCCTCAAACTCACTATTACATTCAAGGAAAGCCTTGAAATGCTAATCTTCCTGGCTCCACCTCCAGAGTGCTGTGCCACGCCAGGATGTTTTTATGTGGTATTGGGAATCAAAGCCAGGGCTTCACAAACGCTAGGTAAGCACTCTACCAAAGGCTACATTTCCCAGCATCTCAAAGTTCACTACTAATTCATCTAATGCTAACTGAGTCTATGTGTGCTAGATAACGAGAACACAGTGGTGATGAAAGCAAAGGCCCTGTTACCAAAGCTCAATTCTGGAGGAAGGAGATGGACAACACAAAGGACCCTCGAGTCATGTGAAAGGAGCAGGTGAGCAGAAAAGAGCATTCTAGAAGGAACCAACTTACACCCAAAGGTCCCATTAAGACCTACCTCTGCAATACATGTAAGGATAATCAGACAGAGTTTGCCGCTATGAAGCCTGTGTTCATCTGTAAAGCAAAAAAAAAAATTTAAATCTTCTCTATACATAATCCAAATCACATAATGAATAGAGAACAAAGATGTCAATCATGAAGAGGAGTATTGCACAGAAGTCATGAATGAAGGCTAGGAGATAGTTCAGTCAGTAAAGCACTGCCTTGCAACCATGAGGACTTCGATTCAATTTTATATAAAAAGCCTGTGATACACACTTGTAATCCCAGCTCTGGGGAGACAGAAAAAACAGGATCCCTGAAACTTGCTGGCCAGCCAGCTTTACCTACTTAATCTCAAAAAAAAAAAAAAAAATAGGTGACTAGAACCTGAGGAATGACACCCAAGGTTGCCTCTACACACACACACACACACACACACACACACACACACACACACACGCTGCATCTGTATACAGTTAACACACACACTCATGAATCAGAATCAAGGTGGTACTAAATTAAGTCTTGCTTCCCTCCTAGGCAAAGAAAAATAGTTTGTTTATCCTGATAGCCTGTAAAGTATCTGTCCAAGATGTATTCCTATAATCATTCCTATTATCATGCCCATGCCTTTTCTTTCAGTTAAATCCAGAGCCTTACATGTGGTAAGCAAGAGCTCCACACCAAACCATACTCCCGTGGTGCGGGACAATTCTGTATTCTGTCAATTATGTTTTCAATGAATGCTGATTGGCCAGTAGCCAGGCAGGAAGTATAGGTGGAACAACCAGACAGGAAGTAGAAGCGGGGCAATGAGAACAGGAGAATCCTAGGAAGGAGAAAGCTCTTCCTGCAGGCCTGCCCAGACACTGAAGGAGGAAGATGTGACCTGCCCCGCCAAAAAAGGTACCAAGCCATGTGGCTAACATAGATAAGATAATAGGTTAATATAAGTTATAAGAGCTAATATGAAGCCTAAGTTAATGGGTCAATCAGTTTATCATTAATATAGACCTTTGTGTGATTTTCTCTGGGGCATAACGACTGCAGGAACTGGGCAGGACAGACACCCCAACAAGCAGGCCCTCATGTTACACTCCCCAACCCTAGTGCCTATTTTAAAAATCTAATAGATTTCTCTTTAAGGTAACAACACCAAAGACACAAGTACCAAGGATTTTTAAAGAACTTTAAAAGCAAAACCAAAACAAAGGGATGAAAACATAAAATTCTAGAAAAGGAACAGGAAGGAATGACTGAGGAAGCAGCTTCAATAACATAATGACATGTTTTTAAAGTTGAGCAGCAGGTTCTCATTTGTTTCACTACTATACTATTTAGTTTATGATGCTTCACAATATACCAACCAGCATAGGGTGCTGCAAAGATGGCTCAGAGGCTAAGAGTGTGATAGAGTAAAAATGAGCCACATAAAAATGAAAAATTCAGAGTCTAGATTCTATATATTATTGTGTTTTCTTTAAATTTTTTGACTGTGAAGGAGCTAAGTACAGAGAGACATTTCATTGTATCAGCTGCTAAGCTAAACCAGGACTTACTTTGCTCAACTGCCGACTGAGATGAACCTAGCATACAGGATACACCATGAGAGACCTGATTAACAGTGCCCCCCATACAACAGGAAGAAGTTTGGAGAGAAAAAACTATGCCCATATTTTCAAAATATTGTTTATAAATGTTCTTTTACATTTAAAGGGGGATATGATATAGATATGAATAATTTGCATTCGTATGGATTTTGCTTTATTGATATAAATTTAAGGTCAATCTTGTTATATGTATATTTCTGTTCTTGATTAAGATATTGTGATTATGTAATTCATTTAAAATGTATAATTAGGAAATATAGGTTGTTAATGGATAATCATTGATAATAGTCAAGCTTGTAGTCATGTTAGTTAGATTTTTAGCTATATAGAGATATATTTCAGTTAGATAGGCATTCTTCATATCTTTCAAAGACTACAGAATATGGCATTTAAAATGTTTTTAATAACTTAGGGCTTTTCATGACAATGAGACATGTCTGATCTTGGCAGCACCAAGCTACTTCAAGAGGAAGATGGGCATCAAAGAGGCTCCTTATGGAGTTGGTTAGCCATTTGGGCAAGAAACTGCTCTTGCCTGGACTGATGCATAAACTGGACATGAAGAACCCTCAGAGAGATGACTGCTGAACTTGTCTAAAGGTGAGATGATCCTTTGCTGTTCCTGATTCATGAGAGTCTATGAAACATTTTGCAGGGCACAGAAGAAAGTGACTGAACTGTCTTTGAAATTTCCTGCTTCATGGAAATGTCTGCTAGATACTATGGGCCTATAGGCTGAAGATGGATGCCCCAACAGTACAGAATAACTTTGGGTGACTGTCCAGGCAAGGAGATGTCTCTGTCATTTCTAGAGTTTTGGAAGCTGCTTACAACATACTTCCTGTTTACTTAAGTAATATTATATCCTTCTAGAGTCTTTGATGAAGAATTTATATAGTTTTCCTTAGTTATGATAAAAGAGAAAGTAGATATAAATATTGTAACTGTAATTCTTGCTTGATAACTGTTTTGTTATATGTAATTTGACTATGTTAAAGTTAAAGCCTTCCTTGATGTTTAAACAGAAAAAGGGGAAATGGTGTAGGAGGTTTTTCTGTCTATGTGTTGCTTTCATTGCTTGAATAAAGAAACTGCCTTGGCCTTTTGATAGGGTAGCACTTAGGTAGGCGGAGTGGACGGAACTGAATGCTGGAAAGAAGGGAGATGGAGAGTGTTGAAATAGGAGCGGCAGCAGGGCTGCGTCCCCAGCACCCCAGCCGCCTGCTAGCTTATGCCCGAAATAACAACACACAAATTGTATTCTTTTAAGCATTGCTTGCCCATTATATCTAGCCTCTTCTCGGCTAACTCTCGCACCTGGACTAGCCCATTTCTAATAATGTATGTAGCACCCCAAGGTGCGCTTACTGGGAAGATTCTAGCCTACGTCTATCCTGAGTCGGAGCTTCATCGCGTGTGCCCAGAAGTGCGAAGCAGGGCCTCTGCGCCAGAGAGCAGAGCCGTCGAGTCTGTCTGAGGAGTCTTACCTCACTTCCTCTTCCTCCTGTTTACTCCTCCCACCTATATTTTAACCTATCAGGGCAAGCAGTTTCTTTAATTAACCAATGAAATCAACAGATTGATATATGACACTCCCACATCAGGAGAGCCACCATGGAGCTGCCAGGTCAGATACGCTGAGTCTTTCCTGGTAAACCACAACCTCGTGGTGAACACAGATTAATAGAAATGGGTTAGATCAAGATGTGAGATAATGGGTCAGGCAGTGATTTAATTAATACAATTTCTGTGTGATTATTTTGGGTGTAAGCTAGCCAAGCTAGGTGGGAGGAAGAGCAGGCACACTCCTCCTGTTACAGAGTGTTCTTCCAAAGGACCAATGTTCAGTTTCCAGCATCCATGTTCTATCTCTGACACCCTCTTTGGGCACACCCATGCAACTCACCATACTTATACACATATATGCATACATTTACACAAAAAAATGAATAAATAAATCCAAAGAAAAGCATTTTACAGATGTCAATTAATACATACATTAGAAAAAAAGTATCTGAAAGCCAGGGATGGTAGTGACCACCTTTAATCCCAGCACTTTGATGGCAGAGAGAGCTGGATCTCTGAGTTCAAGGATCTCTGAGTTCTTGTCTACATAGTGTGAGTTCTAGGCCACTCAGAGCTACAGAGTAAGAACCTTTCTCAAACAAAGAAAAGAAAAAGATGTCTTGTCTGGGACAAAGAAAACATCAGCTCTACTGCTCTTAAGATCATAATGTGAAGCTGGGATCCGGTTTAGTGGTAGGGCATTTGGTCACCATGGATAAGGCTCTAGGTTCCATTCCCAGAACACAAAATACACACACACACACACACACACACACACACAATGATCATGAGATCCTGTAGCCAGGGCGTAGCACAGCAAGTCTTAGGTTAAGACAGGGGAAGAGATGGGCAAATGAAGCCATGGAACAGTCATTTTTTTTAAATAAACTATTCTGCATACCTAACCTTGCCCTTGCCATATTTAGACCTCCCACTGGCAAAAATATATTGCAGTCTACAGACACTGTGACCATACGTACTGGCTATTACTTAGTCTATAATTTGGACTTGTATTTATGAACCTGAAGTGACCAGGACAGAGGTTTACATAACTGTTAGAGCTAAAAATGCATTCCAAGAGCCTCAATTCACTGTGTTATATCAAGCAAAGCTTAAAAGTTCATTTTTCTGGGTCACATCCATACAATTTCTTTCTGCTGTAGTTGTTGCAATATTTGTAGAGAAAGGAACAGGCTACCCATTTCCATACAGAAGCAATAGCCTCAGGAAACTCAGATACACTAGAGTCTTGTTATCCTTGCCTGCCAGATCTCTCTTGCCAAGTCTCAGAGAACCAGTCACCTCAGCAGTTCCCAATGGACTGTTCTGTTAGGAGTTGGTGACCTGGAATACTTGCATGGAGTTAACCCTATGTTCTATGTTAGAAGATGGTGACCTGTAATAGCTGCATGGAGTTAACCCTATGTAGTAGCACTTACTCTTCAAAGAGTAACACGTGATACAAGAGGAAATGCCTAAGTTTCCAAGGCGGAGCTCTCCAATAATAGCTCACACAGTGTATGAACACAGCACACTTAGACTCATACACCCAGGCTCCTTTCGGCTCTGGCAAGTCTTAGTTTCCCATATTGCTCTTTCAGCTTTCCAATCTCTGTCTTTCAGTGTTTCCTCCTCACTCCAGAGCTCCTGAGCCTTCATTCCTTCCTTTCCAGAGCTCTTGAAAACCCTCACAACAGAAACCTGCTCACTTGGCAAACAAAAGCCTTCTGAAGTAAAAATCATGCCAAAAGGAGCCTAAGCCCACCTCAGAGGCTCTTAGGACACTCTCCTCACATAAAGTAAGGCAGCAAAAACAATCCATTTTTAACAATTTTTGGTCCTACAATAAAATTGACTTACAATATATGGAAATATGAAGTTATTCATAGACTATAA